TTATAATGAGACAATAAGGTGTGTCTCAAAGGATAATATTCCTACCAACCAAAATTGATTTAATAGATGGAGTATGTTCAACAACAAAAACTTGCGCAATACTCCCTTGAAGATTTCTTTCACCCAAGTTGTTTTTGAATCGACAGAAATCATTAAGGACAGACAACCAAACCAACTAAACGGAAAAGAGATAAGATTAACTACATTAATGCATATAACTGAAAATCATTAAAGTGACAATAAACTGAAATTATAATTTTAAAAAGGAAGTAGTTGTTTGTTACCGAAATTAGTACTGCAGTACACTGAAAATATTTTTTATGTTTTATAAAAAAAAAATGTTTGTCACAAAGCTGAGCTCTCTTTTTTGTTTATATGTTTCTTTCACTTTTATTTTCATATATAAAAATCAAAAGATAGTACCGCGCACATAAACAAACGGCTTTACCTTTAGCCTTTGGTCAGAGTAATTGTCGGTAGGGACATTTCCTCAACAGCAACTTTGTTCGTTTTGTCATCGGACCAAATTTAACCGTTGTTCAAATTGAAATTAGACTCGGTTTAATTGGAGAATCAATCACAAAGAGAGCAAACCAGAATACACTAGCACGTACAGCGTATTACAGGCTATAATATAATTTATGTTCCACATCTCATAATTGGTATTATTAAATACAAACGTATGTGTAGTTGTGTACTCACTCTCTCTATCTACAAAAGCTTAAATCTTGACCCCAACCATAAATAAACCCCACTGGTTCACTCACTGACAAGTCCTTTTCAAATTCAATTCGGTTTCTTGATCAATTCTTCGTACCACAATCCATGAACATTGCGTGACACGTTCGCCACAAGAACCAGAATGTCTGAAACCTCTATGACCTTGTCCGAGAGAGAAGCTGCTCCAATTCTTCTTAGCATTGTTTCCACCAACTGCTTTCTCTTTGTGTTGTTACCTGCTAAAACGGCGGCTCTTGTGGCTAAGTAGATTGTCTGCGCCACACGTGTGAACACTGCGTCTCCTGCTTGTAAGCTTTTCACAAGCATGCTCGCGATTACTTGTTTCTTTGTCTCTGCATCGTCAGAATCAAGAAGCTCGGAGAGTATCTCCATGATTTCTGGAAGACCCGCATCAGGTTTTGCATCTAACATATCATAAAGCCGGTTAATGCAAGTCCATGTAATGGTCTCCATGTCAATCGTGGCCGAGTTTCCGCTTAATAGTGTTTGCTGAAGGATCAACACGCTAAAAGAAAGACACAGAGTGGTTAATAAAAGAATTATATAATCATCATTGTGAATGAGAGACATCCCTTTGATCAAGAGGTAAGTTTATTTCGCTACTAACCTGATGGAGACTAGAATGATTTTCTGGATTTGGGAATGAATAGCTCTCAGCCTAGTGAGGTTAAGTTGAAATGTTTCAGGGACAGTTTCTAAAGTAAGACCACCAATTTCGCTCACCATTTTCAACAGACCAAGACGGACAATAAGATCTACAGTATCTCCTTTGCACTCTGACAGTTCGATTCCTGCAACAGAAAATTATCAGCATGTAACTACGATCACATAAATCAACAAATGACAAAGGCGGTTTCACCAAAATGTGGTGGAAGCATGGTTTAGGATCCTTAAATGGCCAAATCTGGGATTGATAGCTTAGTAATCTATTCAATTGCTAACCATATATGATAGTTGTAAGATGAATTATATCCATTTATTTGTGGGAGCAAGTTTGGTTTCTACAGGTTGGTTTGTGGTCGCTAAACTGGGTTCTTACAAAAACAATTCTCATAAAGATGACTAAAGTTGATAGATTGACATCAAACCTGGAAATGGAGACGAAGGGGTATTGACTTTTGAAACAGAGGAGACATTGCCTCCAGTTCGCATGATGGTTGATGGGAGGCCTGATGAACCAGGGTGGTTATTTGTGACAACAGAGAGAGCAGCTTTGTGCTCTTTCCACTCTTTCTCTGCCTCTCCTCGAACACTAAAAAGCCATTGCTTTGTCAATGGTAGAGAGGAAGACGCTTGGTCCGGGGAACCATGCCGATTGGAAAATGACTTCTTCAGATATTCCAGACCAGCAGGTCCCTTGAGAAGTGGCTCCAAGAGTTTCAAACGAGATTTGCTGATTTCCTTCTTAAGAATCTGCAAGAAGGGGACATGTTACATGAAAACGTATTACCGTTTTTAATCCCTAAATTGGATTTCAGTTATTAGGAGGGCTTATTACAGTAAGGCTTGTGGAGTTTTGTACAGAAATCATGTTTGAAAATTGGTAGCTAATTTAGAAACCATGTGCTTCTTTCCAGCTTTAAAATAGTGGCATTTCTCAAAATTTCTCTTTAAATTACTATTATGCTCATATGCGAGTTCCTATTACAAAGTAAATGCTATGCAGAATGCTAAGAGACAGAACAAGTATAATGTTCAAAAAGTAGAACGAAGAAAAATAGTGCATACCTGAATCTGCTGCAAAACAAAGCGTAGCCCCTTAACCATTAGGACTGCATATGACGAATTTGACTGGCCTTCACTTGGAGCTATCTCTCCAAGTTCTGTCATTAATTTATGGTGAGTAGTCCTGATTTCCTCTTCATTGGCTGGAGCAGAGAGTTTCAGCAAAATGCCAAGGGAAAACTCTAGAATATTTCCAAGATAACCCATGTCGACATTCCCAGAAGCCAATAACTGAATCATGCCAAGAAAAGAAACATTAGGTACATAACATATCTGCTGTACCAACAATTAAGACAAGGCTGTAGCAACAAGCACCTGTGACAGCACATCCGTGTCGATAGTTTGAACAATCTCTTGTCTCCAATCTTTGGGAGCTATCTCACAGAGTTCATCCCTGACTTCTTTGGTGAGTTTCAGAACCCAGCTGAAGTCTGGCTGTGACTGTTTCATGGATTCCATGACGCCATCCCAGAAGGCCTTTTCCATTGTCTCCTTAACCTTCACCTGGGACATAACGAAAGTGAAGAAATATGAGTCGGGTTGATAATATATTACAGTGCAACTAACGAATCAGAATAGTGAAGTCAGCATATATCGCAGGCTTATGGAACTAATATTTATGAACCTGAAGGTTGCTTGTATCCCCACTGTTAGCCTCGAAGCTATCAGCAAAACTACTGCTATTGTCATGGACAATTTCATTTACGATTACTTCATTCTCACTAGCCAACGTTGCATCCAAGCTATAACCTGTTACGTTTGGAGGAGAAAACTCGTGTTAGATTGAAGACTCGTCATATGATCTTTGAGCTTTAAAGGTTATCTTTTTTTTGTTTGACACCAACATTAAAGGTTATCCAGATTGATAATATTACCAGAGTTCAAAGACGGGGGAATATTCGATGAGCTCGGTGAAGACGAAGATGGACGATGCGAATCTGCAGGTGCTTTTGATTCTTGTGCTCCACCAGTTTCGGCGAATATAGCCCGATTAGTTGGGGAAGAAGCCTTCAGCTGAAGAAAAAAAGAAAGAATAGTCATTCTCCCTATCAAGCTTCTGACCTTCTATGGTCTGCTATTAAGATGATTGTGCAGCATAATAAGCTAACATTAGGCTCAAGTAAACAGAGTCAATAGAGGTAAATGCAAAAGAGAGGAATGAGACATACCGGCTTCTGATTCATACCACCATCTATTACTTTGGAAGAAGAAGTATGTTCAGATGCCTCAGACTCAGACAGCTTTGGGTCTTGAGTTCTGGCTAAATCTTTTTCCAATTGTTTAGCATCATTAATTTTCCATACTACAAATCCCTTCAAGTAAGAGCACCAAGCTTTATCAAATGCTTCTAGCTGAGATCTGAATGTTTTTGGACGTTGCGCTACCAAAGATACATTCTCCTGCAAGGTAAGTTCTGGTCCTTCCAATATAATCTTCACCAGCGATTCAAACTCCCGAATAAGATAGATTGCAGATTCGGCTAGTTCAATCTCCCGTTCACCTCTTCCTCTGAAAAGAGCATCTGGATGTTGCCTGATCATGTAGGCACAAAGAAAAATTCTAGCTGGGTATCGCACAATCTTTATAATTTTTTGCTGTCCCATCTTCCTGGAATTGGGTGACTTTTGCTCGCCTTTACTCACGGAACTGGGTGAGTTTCCTCTTCGAGCTGGGGGATTGATGTGCTTAAGAAGATGATTAATATTCTCCACAGTGGATGCCTGAGATAAAGTGAGTCGGATCTCCAAGCGATCGAGCAATTTTTTCACTGTTTGTATTACAGAAACTGAGTTGATTTGAAGGGCAAGCTGCTCAAATGGAACAGACTCAATGGACATTTCATTGATCCCCAGTCCCTGATAGGCTTTAGCCAAGACAAAAGTAGATTTCTTGTACTTTGCAAATCTCGTCCAGCATCTGAGATTTAAAAGCGACAATCAGACTCACCAAAGTTATGCAATAAAACATCTTCCCAAATTTTGAAGGGTAATTCCTACCTTTCTAACATTTTCACAAGATGCTCCTGTTTCTTTTGCATTGTTTCTGATCTTTGATGTGCACAGCTCTCCATGCCTCTCCTTTGCCTCATATATTGTGCTTTCAGTTTCTTGGCCTAACAAAAAGCATACAAAAGATGATGATATTTACGGCCAAGTACAAATATGGTATTCAGGAAAAAGATCAGAAATTTAAACATACCCTTTGAAGCCGCTCTTCTAGACGG